CCACTCTTAACTCTCGGTGTCGAAGAATTTTTAAAACGATCGTTCGATGCTTCGATCGAATCAAAGATAGTCGATCACATTATAAATAATATATAAAAAATCATTGATCGATTGAATCGAAAGAAAGCTCGTTCTTTTTTAAATTTTATAATTATAATATATATATATATATAAAATTATATAATTATATAATTATATAAATATAATATTTTATTTTAATAAGATTATTTCCAAGATCATGGTTTATCGATCGTTGCTAAATCGCTGGTAGTTTAGAATTGACGTCGCCTTTTTTCTATCCTCTCCACCTGCAAAACGGATATATCATGCGTTTCTACCTAATATCATTCGCGTTGTGCACGCACACCCGTGCCTGCGACCCACCAGTCTCCCTCCCCCCTACTGATCTTTATTCATTCTTTCGCCTCGCCCATTTCAATTTTTCTACAGTTTAGCCCGGGAGAAGGAGGAAAAGGAGGAGGAAAAGTCGCGGCCTCGCCCCGTATACCCGGCGCGTGCTCGATAAATTTCTCGCGATTCCTAATGTTTAGCCTTTATGGCTGCTCGGCAGCCGGCGGTTTAAGGATCCGGTTGGAAGGGGTGTATAAGGCAGACTGTTATCCCCCCTCCCCTCTCTCCCTCCCGGGTTCGTGGCTTGCGAAAACCTGCTGCTGCGCCCGCAGCGATAGCGAGAGACGCTTGACTCTATTTTTAAGGAGGGGGGGGGGGGGGGGAAGGGGCCACCTTTATCAGATTTTTATAAACGAATTTTCGAATAAACGGATGCTTGAAATTTTTGCAAATTTTCACGCAAAAATGGGGTATACGAATTGGATCAATTATATTAGGCGTGAAAATAAATTGTTTCCCCAAATTTAAAATTTTATCAAGGTAAATACGATTTTAGCCCCCTTCCAAATTAAAATGTGTCCCAAAAGCACTTCGACGCTTTCCCAAGCTGGAAAACGGTTCTTCTCGAAAACGAAAGAATGGTGAATTCGGTGACAAGTAGAGAAATAGGGGAAGGAACTTACTTCACGATTCGAGTTCCAATAGCATGTAAACAACGAGAATATCAGTCACGAGTTTCGTCATCTTCTATAATTTTCGTAGACGAAGTAAAATCCACTATCGCCATTTGAAATATCCGTCAAATTATTTTTGATAAACATTTTTAAGGATACTCTCTAATATTCCAATATTTTTAATATTTATCTGGAGAAAATACGTCTGCGAAGTAATTCGATTTCGATCGGAAGTTACACTCCTAATACTTGGAGTCGCATCGATCTAGGAAAAAAATAGGATAGATTAATAATCTGGGGGAAAGGGATCCGGTTCGATCCATTTTTTCGGCGAAAAGTTTTCGATGGAAAATCTCTCTCCCGCCGGGAGGAGACGCTTGCTTGTATTATGTACCATTTATACAAGTAACAGCCGGTCCTCTCTTAATATCGTCCATCCATTATTCATCCGGGATCACGGTTGGAAAATCTTTGGAAATCGCGTTCGCGGAGTAAAGATGCGGAGGGGAGGGGGGAGGGGGGCGTTCGATTCAGATTCAAATGCTGATAGATCCCGCTATGGATCCCGCTACGGCCATCCCGTGGCCCATTGTATTTATTGGCGAGGATGCAACCACCTTCGTCTCCTTTTTCTTCAACACTTTTGTCTCAAACTCGATTAATTTATGCTCGGTTAATATATTGGATCGTTTCGGGAAGTAATTTCGTTTTTGATGAAATCGAGTCGTTTCGTAGCAATTTCGATGCCTTTATTTTGTTTTCGTCAGTTTCGAAACACGGTGCCTTTTTTAACTTCGAAAACTTTTGAAAACCAGTTTTGGTCCTCACCTGAGCATTTTTACTTTTTCGGTAATAAAAAAGTAAAATATGATCGAACGAATTTTTCTTATAGAAAAACCGTGAAATGCACAATTTCACAGTTTAGAATGAAGTTGATTGGATAAACTAGCGACACTCGCGTGAAAAAACGAAATTATTAAAAGATACGGATAATATCCAATATGGCCGCGCATAACCTCAAAAATTGAATCTTTCGTTTCCGTGCGTATTTCCTATCCGAATTCGAAACTTTCCAATTCCTTAAAATTTGGAAGGAAAATTTCAAGGTGTATTAAAAACGGAAGGGAGAGGAAGAAGAGAAAGAAGATCTCCTTTCCCCCGTCGTATTTGTATTTTAAGGCACAAAAGACGCGAAAGGGGATGATACGAGATCGAAGTAACGGGGGGCGGCTGTGTCTGTCTCCCTTTCTCCCCTTTTGGCCAACTGGATGGAAGGATGCAAAGGTGTTGGGGTTGGGTTTCAACCATGATTTCCATTCGCCAGCCATCCATCTTGTTTGAGACTGGAAACTGACAGATAGACGCGGATCCGAGTGCCGGTGACGTGGCAAGTCTTGCACGACTGTGCCCAAGCATTTGTGTCGGTCGAACGAGAAACCCTCGTGTCCGTAACTAGTGGTGTTATATATAT